CAACAACAATAATAATAATAAAATAAAACTTGGAAGGGAACTTGGAGGTCATCTAGTCCAACCCCCTGCTTAGGCCCTATTCCATTTCAGACAAATGGCTGTCCAGTCTCTTCTTAAAAACTTCCAGTGTTGGCACATTCACAGCTTCTGGAGGCAGGTGGTTCCACTGGTTAGTTGTTCTAACTGTCAGGAAGTTTCTCCTTAGTTCCAGGTTGCTTCTCTCATTGGTTAGTTTCCATCTGCTGCTTCTCGTCCTGCCTTCAGGCACTTTGGAGAATAGCTTGACTCCCTCTTCTTTGGGGCAGCCCCTGAGATACTGGAAGACTGCTATCCTGTCCCCCCTCGTCCTTCTCTTCGTTAAACTAGACATACCCAATTCCAGCAACCGTTCCTTCTATGTTTTAGCCTCCAGTTCCCTGATCCTCTTTGTTGCTCTTCTCTGCCCTCTTTCTAGAGTCTCAACAACTTTTTTTTTTTTGTCTCCCGCCACGTCCTGGGCGGCAGCTGAGGCAGCGGAGGCAGAGGCAGAGAAGGCGAATCCAGAGTTTGCAGGGCCAGCCTGCCCTCTCTGCAGCCATCTGCCCCATTCAAGCCCAAACGCGGATCAAATCACGGGAGTTTCCCCCCCCCCATTTCCAAGGGCGAGGATGGTCAGTCGGGAATCACCCTTGGGGGGGGGAAGGGATCTTGATAAGGAAGCCTCGGGCCATTTTTGCTGGGGAATTCTGGGAGTGGGAGTCCACCAAGGCTGACGGTTGTTTTATCGCTCTGAGACTTCAAAACGCCCTGAGGCTGTCGACGACGCGTGGACTTCAACTCCCACAATTCCCCAGCTGGCACGGGCGAACTTCATTCCCCAAGAATTCCTCAGCCAACATGGGTAGGCTTTAACTTTTCCCACGCCTGCCTGGGGCATTCTGGGAGTTGAAGTCCACCCATCTTCTAGCAGCCAAGGTTGAGCAACACTCTTTCATAAATGTCTATGGCAGTGATGGTGAACCTTTTAGACAAGAGTGAGTGCCCAAAAACTGCCCCACCCCGGCACCACTACCCTTCTCCACCCCTGCCCCACCCCCACCCACTCACTGGGCCACCCACCACTCCACAGCCTGCCACAGATCGCCCAGGTGGCCCAGCAGTGTCATGGTGGCCACATCCTCCACCCGTGCCCCGCAGCATCATCTGTTTACAACAGGGCACAGGGGTGGAGTCTTGTCCCCACTGCCCGGCTGCCATGTCCTTGGCTGCACTGCTCCAGGCGACTCTCCTCCGGGGGGGCAACTCTGGGGGGCTGCTGGTGTGGAGGTGCCCACGGGGGAGGCGGTGCTGGGGTGATGGCACGTGTGCCCACAGAGAAGGCTCTGAGTGGCGCCTTTGGCACTCGTGCCATAGGTTTGCCACCACTGGTCTATGGAGATCCTCAGTCATAGAGGTCACCGTTGTCCCAAAAATGCAAGGGGTCCAAGAGGCCATGTAGGTGAAAACTGAACAGCCTTCTCTCAACAGAGGGGAAGGGACACAACATCATCCATCTCCAGTCTACAACACGGTCCTTTCAGCAGCTCCAAGAAGGCTCCACCCCCATTTGCACCATTCAGGTGACCCTGAGGACACAGGTAAGCCTCCAGGTGGCCTCAACGACTCTCAAAAGAAGGCAAATGACCAGCTGTCTGCAAGGAGTATAAATCCTTCCATTTCCCCCACCGTCCAGTCAGAGCTGAAGAAGTTTCTTGGAGGAGAAGCGAAACGTCTTCAAAGAAAAACAAAGAAAGTCCAGTTGCCTCCTGAAAAAAAAAAGCACCTTTGGGAATCTTTCATAAAGTACCAAGACGTGTCAGACTATCCTGGCATTTTTCACACCCATGCACATCCCCAACAACATCCATACATACACTCCCGGTTGCCAATCGAGACCGCTAAACCAATTTCGGGGTGAAATTGAAAAAAAAAAATACAGCCTAAAACTCCAAACGTGTGCATTTGTGAACGTTGGTCTGGAAAGGTTGAAATTTCTTTGCACTTTGATGAAATGCAGTTTCTCGTTCATTGTGTTATGCAAGCTTAGATGGCGGGAGCCCCCAAGTGGATGTAACTGCTTTTGAGGACCTGTGAAGAGCGCCCCCTGGTGGCCAACGATGGATAAAACCATAAAGTGTTAATACCACTTTACAAAGCCTTGGTAAGGCCACACTTGGAATAGGTCATGCAGTTTTGCTCACCGTGACGTAAAAAAGATGTTGAGACTCTAGAAAGAGTACAGAGAAGAGCAAGGAAGATGATCAGGGGACTGGAGGCTAAAGCATATAAGGAACGGTTGCTGGAATTGGGGATGTCTAGTTTAATGAAGAGAAGGACGAGGGGGGACATGATAGCAGCGTTCCAGTATCTCAGGGGCTGCCCCAAAAAAGAGGGAGTCAAGCCGTTCTCCAAAGCACCTGAACGCAGGACATGAATGGATGGAAACTCATCAAGGAGAGAAGCAACCTAGAACAGTGATTGTGAACCTTTTAGAGGCCGAGTGCCCCAAAACCGCCCCCTGCCCCCTCTTCACCTCCCGCCCTGCCTGCTCCGCCCCCACTCGCCCCCTGCCCCGCCCACCTGCAGGGCCAGGCACTGCATCAATGGCCTGCTGCAGCAGATCGCCCAGGCAGCCCTGCAGCACCATGGCAGCCACACCCTCCACCCACACCCTGCACATCATCTGCATGCTATGGGACACGAGGGCGGAGTCATGCCCCCCTGCTGCCCGCTATGTCCTTGGCTGCACTGCTCCATGCGGGCTGTGCTCGGGCGTGACTCTCCTCCAGGGGGGTGCTGGTGAGGACAGGGCCGTAGGGGGAGGCAGGGCTGGGGCGACGGCATATGTGCCCACAGAGAGGACTCTGAGTGCCACCTCTGGCACGCGTGCCATAGGTTCGCCACCACTGACCTAGAACTAAGGAGAAACTTCCTGACAGTGAGAACAATTAACCAGTGGAACAACTTGCCAACAGAAGTTGTAAACGCTCCGACACTGGACGTTTTTAACATTGGACAGCCATTTGTCCCCCCTCGTCCCTCTCTCTCTCTCTTTTTTTTATAACAATTTTTATTGGGTTTTTTTTAACTTTTACAACAGAATGCTCAAGACACACCGTGGTGGTTAAGTGATCAATCATCCAAAAACAAAATCATGTAATAGCTCAAGTAAATACATTAAATGTTCCCTCTCTATTTCCCTCAAATAATATAACCTATTTAACATAATCCATTTCTACATTACCTATCTATAAATCCTAATCCTGTTTTGAACTTTATTAATTTACAGTTACCATCGTCCAATTTAATCTTAGATAAACGTATTATCACTTCGGGTATCCCTTCTAAAATACTAATCCAGATATATTCTAATTCATAATCTCATAAATCACTGATTTTATCACAAATCTCTCTTATTTCTTCAGATAGCATTTAAATCTCATTCAAATAATTATCATGTCTAAAAAAAAGAGAGAACACACCTATTATTACACAAAACATCATCTTACTAACTTAACACACTCAATTAGTTGTTAAAGCCATCCCAATTTCTAAAAACCTCTTTCATATTCTTATTCTCATTCCATTACAAAATAATTTTCATGCAAATAAACATATCATTCCAAAAAGTACCTTCTTACTCTGTTTAACATATATATTCTAATAATCACAAGTTTTCAACTCTAAATCTTAGTCCTTAAATCAATCCATATTTCTCAACCTTTTTAATCCATTACATATAATCGTCCTTCTCTTCATTAAACTAGACATCCCCAATTCCAGCAGCCGTTCCTTATATGTTTTAGCCTCCAGTCCCCTGATCATCTGTTGCTTTGTAAGGTGACCAACTTTTTTACAATGAAAAGGAGGACACAAATAAATTGAAGAAAAAAATATCGTAAAAGCTGGCTCGGCCCATGGAAGGTCAATCGCCCGCCGCGCCCCGCCCACAGTCACCCCGCAAGCACCACTGCTCTGCTGTGTAGAGGGGGCCACACGGGGGCAGCCCGCTGTCAACACACCCCGCCTGCAGCCGCCCCGCCAGCATCACCGCCCACCCTGCGCAGCCCCGTGTAGAGAGGGCCCCGTGGCTCCCACAGCACGGGGGCAGCCGGCCGCTGCCGCCCCTCACGCCCCCGCCTGCAGCACCCCCGCCGCCCCTGCGTCTTGCACCCACAGCCATTATTGCCCTAGCAGAGCTGAAGATCAAGAGAAACTTACTGCTCCAGTCTCCTCCAGGTATCTTTGGAACTAACTAGGAGATGGTGTAGTTGGGTAGCAGGGAGGGGTGCTAAGTTTCTGCCAATTCACCTTCGCTGCAGACAACTTGCATGTGCAAAGTTTGCCGGCTGGATGTTTTGGCGCGCTCAGCAGCAATTCCTATTGGAATAATAATAATAATAATAATAATAATAATAATAATAATAATAATAATAATAATAATAATAGTAGTAGTAGTAGTAGTAGTAGTAGTAGTAGTAGTAGTAAAGTTGGAAGGGACCTTGGAGGTCATCTAGTCCAACCCCCTGCTCAGGCAGGAAACCCTACACCATCTCGGACAAATGGCTATCCAGTCTCTTCTTAAAAACTCCCAGTGTTGGAGCATTCACCGCTTCTGGAGGCAGGTTGTTCCACTGGTTAATTGTTCTCACTGTCAGGAAGTTTCTCCGTAGTTCTAGGTTGCTTCTCTCCCTGATTAGTTTCCACCCATTGCTTCTTGTCCTGCCTTCAGGTGCTTTTGAAAACCAATAGGGGGGAGTAGCACAGCTCATGCAAAAGATGAAAAAAAAAATCAAAAAAAGGTGCCGGAATGCCATTCTGAGCATTCTATGAGAAAAAAAAAAGCCCTGCAGATTAGTCTTCAAATATCAAAAAGGAGGATAAGTAGGAGGACACTTTTTGAGGGAGGACAAAGCTTACAAAAGGAGTACTGTGGGTCACTTTATGCAGCTTTGTCAACATCAGGGTGGCCTTTGAACCAAGGCTGAGCTCCACACAGAACTTTAGCCAAGCATGTCTCAACACGATGTAATCCAGGCTGGGGAATTTTCAGTATTGCTTCCCGAGAAGGATTTTGAGCACAGGATCTTCCTCCTTCTGGCATATATAAGACACTTCCTGCTCTAGGAAGAAGGCTGGCAGACGGGAGCTTTGGAGAGAGCGGCAGGTAAGCGCAGAAGACGCGGCGCGATTACGGATGTTTAACCTTTTGTTTTTGCACAACCTGAGTGTCGATGTATTTGGAAAGAAAGGGGAAATGGCAAAAGGGAGGTGGGAATTGTAGCCAGGGGGCTGAATCCTGTCTGCAAAAGCTGGCAGTTTTGATTCTGCTTCTGCAAAATTTGTGGTCCTTAAGATTCCCTGAAGGAAGGAAGGAAGGAAGGAAGGAAGGAAGGAAGGAAGGAAGGAAGGAAGGAAGGAAGGAAGGAAGGAAGGAAAACTTTTGTTGAAGGAAGTCAAAAGAAAGAAAGAAAAAAAAAGAAAGAAGGAAGGAAGGAAGGAAGGAAGGAAGGAAGGAAGGAAGGAAGGAAGGAAGGAAGGAAAGAAGGAAGGAAGACTTTTGTTGAAGGAAAAGTAGAAAGAAAGAAAGAAAGAAAGAAAGAAAGAAAGAAAGAAAGAAAGAAAGAAAGAAAGGCTGAAAGGAAAGAAAACAAAGAAAGTGGGAGAGAGAAAAGAAGGAAGAAGGAAGGAAGGAAGGAAGGAAGGAAGGAAGGAAGGAAGGAAGGAAGGAAGGAAGACTTTTGTTGAAGGAAAAGTCAAGAAAGAAAGAAAGAAAGAAAGAAAGAAAGAAAGAAAGAAAGAAAGAAAGAAAGAAAGAAAGAGGCTGAAAGGAAAGAAAACAAAGAAAGTGAGAGAGAAAAGAAGGAAGAAAGAAGAAAGGAAGGAAGGAAGAAGGAAGGAAGGAAAGAAGACAGAGAGAAAGCGGGAGAGAGAAAAGGAAAAAAAGAAGGAAGGAAGGAAAGAAAGAAAGAAAAAAGAAAGAGAAAGAAAGAAGGAGGGAGGAAGGGAGAAGAGAGAGAAAGAGGGAGAGAGAAAAGAAAGAAACAAAGAAAAAGAAAGAAACAAAGAAAAAGAAAGAAAGAAAGGGAGAAGAAAGAGGGAGAGAGGAAAGAAAGAAAGAAAGAAAGAAAGAAAGAAAGAAAGAAAGAAAGAAAGAAAGAAAGAAAGAAAGAAAGAAAGAGAGGGAGAGAGGAAAGAAAGAAAGAAGGAAGGAAGGAAGGAAGGAAAGAAAGAAAGAAAGAGAGGGAGAGAGGAAAGAAAGAAAGAAGGAAGGAAGGAAGGAAGGAAAGAAAGAAAGAAAGAAAGAAAGAAAGAAAGAAAGAAAGAAAGAAAGAAAGAAAGAAAGAAAGAAAGAAAGAAAAAAAAGAGAAAAGGAAAGGAGTTGGGTCACACTTCCCCAGCCACAAACCTAGTCTGACCTCCTTCTACTATGTACCCCTTATCAAGTTTGCAGATAATGCTGGCCAGTGGCAGGTATCAAAGTCTCCAGGGCAGTCCAGACCAGGAAAGCAAGAATGAGCCCGTCACAATACAGTTACAATAAGAGTAACATGCATGTCTGAACGTGTATCCCTCCCTCCCTTCAGAGAAGCACAGAGTGTCCCTTCGGATATATTTTCTCCACCCCAATTCCTGCTTTGGACTCAGAGTTCTCTCACCCAACTGACGTCCGGGGTGAGGCATTTCCTGCTGTGTCACTCAAAGCTGCATTCTCACAGCCCATGCCAGGAAAAAGTGGCTCTTTTGGTCCACAAGTTAAACACAAGCCATCAATACTAATACCGCGCATGATCTTGATTCTATGCCTCTGTTTATACAACCCAGGATTGTATTAGCTTTTTTGGCGGCGGCTGCACATGGCTGGCTCACACGCTTGATAAATCCTCAGTAAGGCCATACTAAGTCCAGTTTTGGTCACCACATTACAAAGGAGATGTTGAGATTTTGGAAAAAGTGCAACGAAGAGCAACTAAGATGGTTAAAGGCCTGGAGACAAAAAACATCTGAAGAACGGTTGCAGGAATTGGGTATGGCCAGTCTAGAGAAAAGAAGAACAACGGGGGGACATGAAAGCAGTCTTCCAGTATTTGGGGGGCCGCCACAAAGAGGAGGGGGGGAGCAAACAATTTTCCAAAGCACCAGAGGTCAGGACAAGAAACAACGGATGGAAACTGATCAAAGAGAGAAGCAACCTGGAATTAAGGAGAAACTTCCTGACGGTGAGGACAATTAACCAGTGGAACAGCTTGACACCAGAAGTTGTGGGTGCTCCATCACTGGAGGTTTTTAAGAAGAGACCGGACAGCCACCTGTCGGGAATGACATAGTGTCTTCTGCTTGAGCAGGGGGCTGGACTAGAAGACCTCCAAGGTCCCTTCCAGCTCTATTCTGATCGAATGACTAGGGGTGACATGTTGGCAGCCTTCCAATATCTAGGGGGTTGCCACAAAAATAAGGGGGGGGGTGTCAACCTATTTTCCAAAACACCAGAACCAAGACAAGAAACAAAGGATCAAAGAGAGAAGCAGCCTAGAACTATGGAGAAATTTCCTAACAGTGAGAACAATTAACCAACGGAATAGTTTCTCGTACTTCTGAATATTCACTAAGTAGCCAGTTGTTAAGCGAGGACTATATACAATCTGTCTTGGATGCCGAAATGGAGGTAGCATTAAATAGACCAATAGGTTTGCCCACTGATCTTTCTCTCCCTGCTTCTCCCCAGGATGACGTCTTCAGCTCCGTCTCTTCTGATTGCCTGCCTTGTGATGTCCCTCAACAGTTACACTCAGCAGGTCCTTTACTGCCCACCCACCCCTGCCCCAGAAAGCGTCACCGAGTTCGTCTGCAACTCTCCATCTCTACGTGAATTTCCCACCGGCTTCCCCGCACGAGCCAAGAGGATCTCCGTTGAGTTCACCCAAGTCTCCAGCCTTGGCGTGGAGGCCCTCCAAGGTCTTCCAAACCTCCAGGAACTTCACCTCTCCAACAACAGGTTAAAAACTCTTCCGAGTGGCCTCTTCCGTAACCTCCCACAACTGCACACTCTGGATCTCTCCAGAAATCTCCTGGAAGATCTACCTCCAGAGATCTTCACAAATGCAAGTAGCCTAACTCATTTATCCCTCAGTGAAAATCAGCTGGCTGAACTGCACCCATCCTGGTTCGAAAGCCTGGCGGAACTCAGGATCCTAGGCCTTGACCACAACCAGGTGAAGGAGATCCCAATTTCTTGTTTTGATAAGCTGGAGGAGTTGACATCTCTAGATCTCTCATTCAACCTTCTCCATCGCCTCGCTCCAGAGATGTTCAGCGGCTTAGACAATTTGGAGAGGTTAGTTCTGGAAAGCAACCCAATCCAGTGTATTGTCAAGAAGATCTTCCATTGGCATCCCAAGTTGAGTGTGCTGTCCCTGAAGAACAGCAGCCTGACCCACATCATAATGGGAGTCTTTGATCCATTGGACCAACTGGAGCTACTGGATCTCTCTGACAATGAGCTCAGCACAATGGATGATCCAGTGTACAAGCCGTCTGCCAATCTCAGTCTTGATCTTTCAGGAAACCCTTGGGCGTGTGACTGCCGTCTGGAGAATCTTCTAAGATGGCTCAAGGATCACAACATCCATTTATATTCCAAGGAGGAATTTGTCTGTGCTTCCCCCAAGCATTTCAAGGGTGAACGTGCAACTTCACTTCAAACATATCAAATTTGTCCCTGCTAAACTTTCAAGGTGGATCTTTTCCCCACCTGTTACCTGAACAGCAGGATTTTCCAGTTTGGGGCTATTTCAAGTGGAATGGACTTCAACTCCCAGAATTCTCCGCAATGGCCATGATGGTTAGGGAATTCTGGGAGTTGAACTCCACCTAGACCAGGGGTAGCTGGCTCAGGAATTCTGGGAGTTGAAGTCCACAAGTCCTAAAAGATCCAAGGTTGCTTACCCCTGATCTAGATGGATTTAAAGGAGGGCAGCCAGAACATGATTGGAAAAAAAATTAATTTTAGGGAGAAAAAGTAGCTGACAATATACTAAATCTGGTACATGCTCACACACTTCCCAAGGTGCACCAAAGGAGGACGAGCTAGCTTCGCATCAGAAAGAAAGACAAGCAGTTCCTCCTGGAGCATTATCCAAGGCCTCCCTTCACTCCACCGGAACCACCTCACAAACGGGAAGGTTTAAAGCCGACAGAAATCTGGCTGCCTACACAGAGCACCAACTCGCCTCCCCCATCAAAGTGTACCTATTTATCTACTCCCATAGAGCATGCTTTTGTGGGCCAAAGCTAAGGCAAATACAGGAACTCATGAAATTCTAGGGCTCGAACCACTTGAGCAGAGACCATCTCCAAGATCATTAAGCCACTGGGCCAATGTGCTTCTCTCATCTGCTGTTGAATAAACTCTACTTCTACTTCAAGCAGTTGTCCTGTGCTGTTTGAAGCGCTGCTCGGAATGAGCCAGAATTTCCTGCTAACAATTTGGCGACCACATAGGGTTATCTGGTTGATAGATCTCATCTGGGCAATTTCACCGAAATACTACCAGATCATTTGTCTGGAGGGTACTGCCCTGGTCTCTGCCTGTTTCAGTGCAGGTACCGGCAGTAAAGGAAGTTTTCTGTTGGGCCAAATATTTGCTTGAGCCAGGCCCTCCCCATCATACACTCCATTATGTCCCTCGCAAACACTTTTGTAAATAAGATAACCTTTATTGTACTTTTTTTTACCATGGGCACACTGGCATACAATAAAAATAAAATTCTGTTGCCTGCTCTCAAAAGTGTATACATACATAACACACATATAAATATGCTATATGTGACATGTATATTTCTACACCCTTACATATACATATTAATCACTTTCCATCTTGAATACATACTGGAAAGAGGAAGCTTGAGCGTTCACAAGTTTAATACTGTTTGGACCAAAACTTTGGCTGAATCCGGATGTTCTGCTTCGGATACCACGAAGCCCCTCCTCCCAGAAGGTAACAAGGAAAACAGGTCGTGAAGATGTTGTGCAGCATCCCAGACCATCTTGCAGACTCTGCTCAAGCAATGCTTACATGCCACGTCCTGAACAGAAGGGAGTGAACTACCAATAATCCTTTCTGCTGTCCTCACCACTCTCAGCACCACCTTCCTGTCTGAAGCAGTGATGCTTCCAAACCAGACAGTGATGCTGTATGACAGGATGCTCTCCATCGTCCCTTTAGAGAAAGTGGTAAGGACAGGGGAAGGAAGAGTATTGTAAATGAATCTGGCTCTCTTCCGCCCAATGTACAAGATGTCCACTCTTCCCAAAAGGGGACGGGATCCCACAGAAGTGAGGTTTTACAGAACACAACTCTGATCAAGTAACACCAGGACCATCACCCTGTCTACAGCGTAGCATCCCAGCTGAAGCAGTTACATCCATTCAAAATATATTCTATATTCTATATTCTATTCTGTTCTGTTCTGTTCTATTCTGTTCTATTCTATTCTATTCTATATTCTATATTCTATATTCTATATTCCATATTCCATATTCCATATTCTATATTCTATTCTATTCTATCCTATTCCATATTCTATTCTATTCCGTATTTTATTCTATTCTATTCCATTCCATTCCATTCCATTCCATTCCATTCCATTCTACTCTACTCTACTCTACTCTGTTATTATTATTTCTATTCTATTCTGTTCTGTTCTATCAGATCTAAAAATGAAGTGGGAGAGAGATTTCAGAGTTAATTTATTTCAAACACATTTCAAATACAGGTAGTCCTCGACTTACAAACTCTCTTTTAGTGACCAAAGTTAGAAAGGCACTGAAAAAAGTTGTCATTTTTTCACACTTATGACCCTTGCAACATCCCCATGGTCATGTAATTGAAATTCAGACCCTTGGCAATTGACTCCTATTTATGAGGTTGCAGTGTCCCAAGGGTCATGTGTTCCCCTTTTGCGACTTTCTGACAAGCGAAGTCAACAGGGGAAGCTAGATTCATTTAACGACCATGTTAGTACATTAATAACTACAAGGTGTCAGACCCAGCATGATACTTACCTTCCAAAGTCCAGAATGTTCCAGTTAACCCTGTGTTCCAGCCGAGTCCGGTAGCTTCGTGAGCTACATCGCCAACAGCGGCGGCCGAACGGGTCACATGAACATCCTATGTTGCCAGCACATAACTGGACGGAGGCTACATAGAAATGGAATATGGAGAAGTCGACTACTGTTAAAACTGTTATGGCTTATGTTGCTGGAACCGTGACTCTGTGAATGATGGGAACTGGGACGCTGGGTCTGACAACACTTGGATACCGGGAGGGGGTATTATAGGAAGAGGTTGAGTGGGACATTAGGGATGAGAATGGCATGAACGGAACGCATGGACTCAATGCAAGGTTTGAACATAAGTACTAGCTGGATCGGGGCGTGGACTCAATACAAGGTTTGAACATAAGTACTAGCTGGATCGGGGCGTGGACTCAATGTAAGGTTTGAACATAAGTACTAGCTGGATCGGGGCGTAGGTAGGGTGGAGGACTATCACAAGGCAGGTATGGGGAGGGGGACAGGTGGATTCCAGATGACCAACTAACCGTCAATTGGGGTGTGTACTCTGGGTGTGGTGGAGGAATGTATTTAGGGCAATGAATGGAGCTTCGTTCCAGTGCTAACTTAGTTTCAACATAGTGAATTAAGCTTGTTGAATACTGCAACGTTCCTGTTTCCTGGCTTTTGCGAAGCGCGGTTAGGACGTTCTGTTACAAGGATTCACTTAACAAGGTGATATAATGAAGAGTTTATGACTCATTTAGCAACCATCTTGCTTAGCATTTGTGGTTGTAAGTCAAGGGCTACCTTCATGCAGTCATACAAAAATCCACATATGAATCTTTTTTGGGGTGGGTGGGAAGTCAGCTTCCCTGAGAAGGAAATATTAAAAGGGCAGAAAAATATATTTCCTCAAAGGATCTTGAAGAGGCAGAAAAGAATGCCCAGTTTTCTTAATAGCCCCAAGTCTGCCTCCCCCAAGCAGAAACCAGCTCTGTAGAGATGCAGTGTAAAGGAAGGTTGGAAGCCCCAGCTAGAAGATACATACATACATACCCCCCCAAGGTCTAAGACAGGACATAATAGGATTATCCCACAGATGCCAAACACAGGTCAAAACACATGACCCAGGAAATACAAAGCCTCAAAACAGGAACAGGAAGCAACTCCAAACAAAAGGCTCCAGAGGGTATAAAAACCTACTCCCTACATGTGCTCAGCCCTTTTTTCCTCTTTTCTGTCAGGGCCATCTTTCTGTCTGGCTCTCCTCTTCAATAAACTGCAACCGTCTTTCTAAAGCAGTCACCATGTTGTTTATTCTCGGCTTGGACTGAACCATGATGAAGACTTTTCTTCCAACAAGGGGGGAGGGAATGAAAAATTATGCATCTCTTCATTAAATGCCCCCCCCCCCAGGGAGATGTGGAAACCTGACTAACTTCAATCCTTGGTTTTTTTCCCTTGTTCCAGGCCGCTTTTCTAAAAGACAGAAAAAAATTGTTTCTCCTCCCAAAATTCAGGCAATTGTTCTTTTTTTTTTGAGAGAGAGAAAGACATTTGAAGGAGGCAGATTATCAACATCAGGATGGCCTTTGAACAGAGGCTGAGCTCCACAGAGAACTTTAGCCAAGCGTGTTTCTCAACACGATGTAATCCAGGCTGGGGAATTTTCAGTATTGCTTCCGAGAAGTTTTTTGAGCACAGGATCTTCCTCCACCTGGCATATATAAGACACTTCCTGCTCTGGGAAGAAGGCTGGCAGACGGGAGCTTTGGAGAGAGCGGCAGGTAAGCACAGAAGACGCGGCGCGATTAGGGATTTTTTAACATTTTGTTTTTGCACAACCTGAGTGTCGCTGCATTTGGAAAGAAAGAGAAAATGGCAAAAGGGAGGTGGGAATTGTAGCCAGGGGGCTGAATCCTGTCTGCAAAAGCTGGCAGTTTTGATTCGGCTTCTGCAAAATTTGTGGTCCTTAAGATTCCCTGAAGGAAGGAAGGAAGGAAGGAAGGAAGGAAGGAAGGAAGGAAGGAAGGAAGGAAGGAAGGAAGGAAGGAAGGAAGGAAAACTTTTGTTGAAGGAAAAGTCTTCATAGAAAGAAAGAAAAGAAGGAAGGAAGGAAGGAAGGGAAGAAAGGAAAGGAAAGGAAGGAAGAGAGAAGAGAGAAAGAAAGATGGTGAAAGGAAAGAAAACAAAGAAAGTGGGAGAGAGAAAAGAAGGAAGGAGAGAAGGAAGGAAGGAAGGAAGGAAGGGAAGGAAGGAAGGAAGGAAGGGAGAAGAGAGAAAGAGGGAGGAAGACGGGAATAAAGACAGAGAAAGCGGGAGAGAAAAAAGGAAAGAAAGAAAGAAGGGAAGGAAGGAAGCAAGGAAGGAAGAGAGAGAGAAGAGAGGAGGAAGAAGGGAAAGAAAACAGAGAAAGTGGGAGAGAAAAAAGGAAAGAAAGAAGGAAGGAAGGAAAGAAAGAAAGAAAGAAAAAAAGAGAAAAAGAAAGAAAGAGGGAGGGAGGGAGAAGAGAGAGAGAAAAGGAGAGAGAAAAGAAAGAAAGAAAGAAAGAAAGAAAGAAAGAAAGAAAGAAAGAAAGAAAGAAAGAAAGAAAGTAAGAAAGAAAGAAAGATCAAGGAGAAAAGGAAGGAAAGGAGTTGGGTCACACTTCCCCAGCCACAAACCTAGTCTGACCTCCTTCTATTATGTAACCCTTATTAAGTTTGCAGATAATGCTGGCCAGTGGCAGGTATCAAAGTCTCCAGGGCAGTCCAGACCAGGAAAGCAAGAATGAGCCCGTCACAATACAGTTACAATAAGAGTAACATGCATGTCTGAACGTGTATCCCTCCCTCCCTTCAGAGAAGCACAGAGTGTCCCTTCGGATATATTTTCTCCACCCCAATTCCTGCTTTAGACACAGAGTTCTCTCACCCAACTGACGTCCGGGATGAGGCATTTCCTGCTGTGTCACTCAAAGCTGCATTCTCACAGCCCATGCCAGGATAAAGCGGCCCTTTTGATCCATAGGTTGAACACAAGCCAGCAAGGCCCTGCAGCTGCTAAAACAGCAAAGACAATCTTGGGAGGAGCAGGAGCAGAGAGTCCAGATCGCGGAAAAAAATTCCCCCCAGCCAGCATGCTTTGTGGACTTCAGCACCCAGAATTCTCCCAGCCGACATGCTTTAAGATGGGTGGACAAGCTCCCAGCTTGCTGCCTGGTGGATTCTGGGAGTTGAAGGATGCTGCAAACAGACTTAAAGGTGAGCCGGCTGCCAAAAGAGCATCAAGGATGGTTAGGGGACTGGAGGCTAAAACTTATGAAGAACAGTTGCAGGAATTGAGTATGTCTAGCCTGGTGAAAAAGGAAGTGGACGGTAACTTAAATGTGAGCCAGCCGTGTGCGGCAGCAGCCAAAAAAGCTAATACAATCCTTGTTTGTATAAACAAAGGCTGTGATGACCTAGGGCACAGCACCCAGGCCATGCAGTCAGCTGGCAATTCAAACCGCCCTTTAATTGTTCCAAATTTTCCCCAAATGCTCCCACATTTCTGGCAAGTCCCAGAACAAAGTAAGACACACCCACCTTCAGCAGCCTCTGGCTGCAAGTAGTTTCGTATACAGTTAGATTAGAAGAGTAATTTACTCAAGGCCACACAGATAACAAGGAATGAAACATACATCCAAAATCTAACGAGTCTGTGGAAATACAAGCTTGTCTGAGCAGTTTCAGAAGAGAAGCCAAAATACAATCCGAGGTCTTTGAACACCCAATTAAATTTGTCAGCCAGTCCAATGGTCAGAGTTTTAGGACCTCCAAGCAGAAGTCACAGAACAAGAGATCAGCAACAACACACACCAAACTCCAAGGAATCAGCGTTTGTTCCCGACAAATGCCTCTCCCCACAGCGTCTTCTTAAGTCTCAGTCTCCAGGTGTGCCTTGTGGAAAGGGACGGGACGTTATCCTCCCAAGTAGTTGAGCCTGACTGCGTTGTTCCCTCCTTCTCTCCACTCTCCATGCTCTAGGATCAGGTGGGGGTGGCCCTTACTCATCGCCTGAACTCTGTCTCTCGTGTTCCTCCTGTCCCACTCCTGAAGGGCCCTGGCCTGCCTCGGCCTCCCCTTCCCCACATTCCTCTGAAACCACAGACCCCTCTCCCTCAACCGCCATAGGGTCCCGTTCCAGCTCATTTTTCTCTGCAGATTCTGCTCCGGAGGCATGACAGAGACATAGAATAAAAATCACGTATTAGAATAGAATAGTGCTAGAAGGGACCTTGGAGGTCTTCTAGTCCAGCCCCCCGCTCAACAGGAGAACCTATACCATCTCAGACAAGTGGCTGTCCAGTCTCTTCTTAAAAACCTCCAGGGATGGAACGCCCACGATTTCTGGAGGCAAGCTGTTCCACTAATTGATTGTCCTCACTGTCAGGAAGTTTCTCCTTAATTCCAAGTTGCTTCTCTCTTTGATCAGTTTCCAATCATTGTTTCTTGTCCTGCCTTCAGGAGCTTTGGAGAATAATTTGACTCCCTCTTCTTTGTGACAGCCTCTCAAATACCAGAACATTGCTATCGTGTCTCCCCTATTTCTTCTTTTATTTATACTAGCCAAATCCAAGTCCTGCAGCCGTTCTTCGTATGTTTTAGTCTCCAGGCCTTGGATCATCTTAGTTGCTCTTCTCTGAATTTTTTCCAAGGTCTCAACATCTCTTTTGTAGTATAGTGACCAAAATTGGTTGCAGTATTCCAGGTGTGGTCTTACTAGGGTTTTATAAAGCGGTACTAATACCTCGCATGATCTTGATTCTATGCCTCTGTTTATACAACCCAGGATTGTACTACTTTTTTTGGCTGATGATGCACATTGCTGGCTCATATGCTTGGTAAATCATACTAAGTCCAGTTTTGGTCACCACATTACAAAGAAGATATTGAGATTTTGGAAAAAGTGCAATGAAGAACAACTAAGATGGTTAAAGCAAGGCCTGGAGACAAAAACATAGGAAGAACGGTTGCAGGAATTGAGAATGGCCAGTCTAGAGAAAAGAAGGACTAGAGGGGACATGATAGCAGTCTTCCAGTATTTGGGGGGCTGCCTCAAAGAGGAGGGGGGGGTCAACCTATTTTCCAATGCACCAGAAGGCAAGACAAGAAACAATGGATGGAAACTGATCAAAGAGAGAAGCAACCTGGAATTAAGGAGAAATTTCCTGATGGTGAGAACAATTAACCAGTGGAACAGCTTGCCACCAGAAGTTGTGGGTACTCCATCACTGGAGGTTTTTAAGAAGAGACTGGAGAGCCACCTGTCTGAAATGGGATAAGGTCTCCTCCTTGAGCAGGGGGTTGGACTAGAACAGGGCTTTTCACCCATCAGCTGGAATGTTGCAGCATCTCCAGGGTCTTGTGATTTACATTCAGATGCTTGGCAACTGATTCATATTTATGACAGTCACAGTGTCCCAGGGTCATGTGAAGTGACCAAAACCTGCTGCAACCACCGAGCAGATGGGGGGGAATAAAAACCAAACACCCCCCCACCCCACTCCCACTGCCAATCCTCAACAGAAATGCTCACAACCATGAAAACCTCGGACAGGAGGAAGAGCGCCCCCGGGCGGGCAGGCAGGTGTCTTGCTTGGCTGTGGCTGGGGGGGGCACTTTTTTCAGTGCCATTGTAACTTCGATCAGTCACTAAGCAAATTGTTGTAAGTCGAGGACTACCTGTACTTCATCACTTTTTTCCTTTTTTTGGAGGGGTCATAAAGTTTTTAACACCTTGCTAGGCGACTGGTGGTACTCGGATGTTACCATATCCTAAAAATGGTACAATGGGTGAAAAGGTTGAAAAGCCCTGGCTTAAAGAGAGAAAAAAACGGAGTTTGTGTTTATTTTATTTTCTTGCTTTGCACTTGATTCCTGTGTCTTTAAGGGTACAGGGAAGGGATTGGGGGGGGGGTGCATTCTTACTACACTGTGGAAGAGCTCAGAACACCTAGCTCAGGTGTCTACAAACTTAGCCACTTTAAGACCTGTGGACTTCAACTCCCAGAATTCCTCAACCAGCCACGAGGGCTGAGGAAATCTGGGAGTTGAAGTTCACAAGTCTTAAAAGTGCCAAGTTTGAAGCTGGCAGTGGTGCATATTAATAAACATGGATAAATTCACCATACATGTGTCAGTGCAAAGGGAAAGGGATTCAGCAAAGGAACAGCCACTGAAGAAATTAAAACTGGTACTTTTTTTTCTTTTTTCGTACACTTTGTAATATTTTATTAGGTTATAGAATAAAATACAAAAATACAAAAGCAAATAGTAGGGCACGGTGGGGAGGAAAAAGGGGGGGAAAGTGAGGGGGAGAAGGGATATTCTGGCACATATAGCTCCATGGACCGTATAGCTCTATGTAGCCCTAACTAGAGAGCAGGTATCAATGTGTTGGAGCGTCTGGCAGTTATTGGGTTAAATGCTACGTATGTTGATGGGTCAGTGGGAGGAGTATCAAAGGTCATTGAGAGACTTCCTGGACACAAGCCAGATGGGATCCTTTGTTCACCAGCCGCATGGTTCCTAGCCACATGGTTAGGAGATCCTCACTAACATGTGATGCTCAGGAAGAGAAGAGGGGAAAATCCAATATCAATTTACCTGGGGAATAAACCAATATTGCAAACATGTACTTCTGGATGCATCTCCACGTGACTGTAAGTCATTGTCTAGAATTCCCAGAATAAAGCTATATTTCTGTTATTCTTCTGAGTTATCTATCTGTTTGGACTGTACAGAAAGCAGCCTGTTCAGTTTGGAACAGAATAAGGGAAAAAGAACAGACTTTCTCTGTTGCAGTAGAACAGGGGTTCTCAACCTTGGCAACTTTAAGACTTGTGGACTTCAACTCCCAGAATTCCTCAGCCTAGCCATTTCTATAACAACAAATGAATCTAATCAGTAAAACCCCAAATCCCCCCCCCTTTTTTTTAAGTTATCAAGTTTTTGACACCTTGCTAAACACTGGTGGCACTCAAATATTGTCATGTCCTAAAAGTGGTACAATCTGTGAAAAGGTTGAAAAGCCCTGGACTAGAAAACCACAAGGTCCCTTCCAACTCTACTACACTATGTATTTTTCTACATATTCTAATGCAATCATGTGTGGCCGTCAGAACTTTGGAGTCATGTTGTATGTACCTTTTGGAGTGATCTGTCGTACTTCTGAATGTTCACTAAGTAGTCAGTCGTTAAGCAAGGACTATGTATAATCTGTCTTGGATGTTGAAATGGAGGTAGCATTAAATAGATCAATAGGTTTGCCCACTTATCTTTCTGTCCCTGCTTCTCCCCAGGATGACGTCTTCAGCTCCGTCTCTTCTGATTGCCTGCCTTGTGATGTCCCTCAACAGTTACACTCAGCAGGTCCTTTACTGCCCACCCACCCCTGCTCCAGAAAGCATCACCGAGTTCGTCTGCAACTCTCCATCTCTACGTGAATTTCCCACCGGCTTCCCCACACGAACCAAGAGGATCTCTGTTGAGTTCACCCAAGTCTCCAGCCTTGGCGTGGAGGCCCTCCAAAGTCTTCCCAACCTCCAGGAACTTCACCTCTCCAACAACAGGTTAAAAACTCTTCCAAGTGGCCTCTTCCGTAACCTCCCACAACTGCACACTCTGGATCTCTCCAGAAATCTCCTAGAAGATCTACCTCCAGAGATCTTCACAAATGCAAGTAGCCTAACTCATTTATCCCTCAGCGAAAATCAACTGACTGAACTGCGCCCATCCTGGTTCGAAACCCTGGAGGAACTCAGGATCCTAGGCCTTGACCACAACCAGGTGAAGGAGATCCCAATTTCTTGTTTTGATAAGTTGAAGGAGTTGACATCTCTAGATCTCTCATTCAACCTCATCCATCGCCTCACTACAGGGATGTTCAGTGGCTTAGACAATTTGGAGAGGTTACTTCTGGAAAGCAACCCAATCCAGTGTATTATGGGGAGGACCTTCCATTGGCGTCCCAAGCTGAGTGTGCTGTCCCTGAAGAACAGCAGCCTGACCCACGTCATAATGGGGGTCTTTCAGTTGGACCAACTGGAGCTGCTGGACCTCTCTGACAATGAGTTCACCACACTGGATCCTCCAGTCCACAAGCCATCTGCCAATTTCAGTCTTGATCTTTCAGGAAACCCTTGGGCGTGTGACTGCCGCCTGGAGAATCTTCTAAGATGGCTCAAGGATCACAACATCCATTTATATTCCAAAGAGGAATTTGTCTGTGCTTCCCCCAAGCATTTCAAGGGTGAACGTGCAACTTCACTTCAAACATACCAAATTTGTCCCTGCTAAAATTTCAAGGTAGATCTTTTCCCCACCTGCTTCCTGAACAGCAAGATTTCCCAGTTTGGGGCCATTTCCAGTTGAATGGACCTCAACTCCCAGAATTTTGACTGCCTACACAGAACATCAAGTCACCTCCCCCACTGAAGTGTACCTATGTATCTACTCTCATAAAACATGGTTTTGTGGGCCAAAGCTAAGGCAAATATGGGAACCCATGCAATTCTAGGGCTTGAACCACTTGAGCCGAGACCATCTCCAAGATCATTAAGCCACTGGGCCAATGTGCTTCTCTCATCTGCTGTTGAATAAACTCTACTTCTACTTTAAGCAGTTGTCCTGTGCTGTTTGAAGCGCTGCTCGGAACGAGCCAGAATTTCCTTCTAACAATTTGGCGACCACGTAGGGATTCCAAATCTAATCTGGTTGCTAGATCTCATCTGGGCAATTTCACCCAGACACCAATGGATCATTTGTCTGGATGGTGCTGCCCTGGTTTCTATCTGTTTCAGGGCAGGTACCGGCAGTAAAGGAAGTTTTCTGTTGGGCCAAATACTTGCTTGAGCCAGACTCTCCCCGTTGTACTCTCCATTATGTCCCTTGCAAACACTTTTGCAAATAAGATAACCTTTATTGTATTTTTTTTACCATGGGCACACTGGCACACATTAAAAATAAATTCTGTTGCCTGCTCTCAAAAGTGTACATGCTATATGTGGCATGTATATTTCTACAACCTTACATATAAATAATAATAATAATAATAATAATGTTGGAAGGGACCTTGGAGGTCATCGAGTCCAACCCCCTGCTCAGGCAGGAAACCCTACACCATTTCAGACAAATGGCTGTCCAGTCTCTTCACTGTCCATCTTGAATACATACTGGAAAGAGGAAGCTTGAGCATTCACAAGCTTAATACTGTATGGAACAAAACTTTGGCTGAATCTGGATGTTCTGCTTCGGATACCACGAAGCCCCTCCTCCCAGAAGGTAACAAAGAAAACAGGTCATGAAGATGTTGTGCAGCATCCCAGACCATCTTGCAGACTCTGCTTAAGCAATGCTTCTATGCCACGTCCTGGATAGAAGGGAGTGAACTACCAATAATCTTTTCTGCCGTCCTCACCACCCTCTGCACCGCCTTCCTGTCCGAAGCAGGGATGCTTCCAAACCAGACGGTGATGCTGTATGACAGGATGCTCTCCATCGTCCCTTTAGAGAAAGTGGTAAGGACAGGGGAAGGAAGAGTATTGTAAATGAATCTGGCTCTCTTCCGCCCAATGTACAAGATGTCCACACTTCCCGAAAGGGGACGGGATCCCACAGAAGTGAGGTTTTACAGAACACAACTCTGGTCAAGTAACACCAGGACCATCCCCCTGTCTACAATGCATCATCCCATCTGAAGCCGTTAATCCCATCCAAAATCAAATACAGGTCGTCCTCGACTTATGACCACAATTGAGCCCAACATTTATGTCACTAAGTGAGACATTTGTTAAGTGAGTTTCACCCCACTTTACAACATTTCTTGCCACGGTTATTAAGTGAATCACTGCAGTCATTACATTAGCATGGTGGTTAAGAGAATCTGTCTTCCTCATTGACTTTGCTCGTTAGAAGTTTGCAAAAAACATTCACCTGATCCCAGGACACTGCAATCGTCATAAATATGAATCTGTTGCCAGGTATTTGAATTTTAATCAAATGACTATGAGGATGCTGTAACGGTCGTACATGGGAAAAACGGTTATCAGTCACTTTTTTCCAATGATGATGTAACTTGGAACGATCACTAAATGAACTGTTGTAACTTGAGGCCTACTTGTAAACACTTATTTAGCACAGAAGGTCCTCTGGAAATATACACAACCCTTTGTTGTTCGGTTACTAGGTCATGTCCGAATCTTTACGACCTCACAGATCCCAGCACGCCAGGCACCATGCTGTCCTTCACTCTCACCCGAAACTTGCCGAAATTCACGTTCTTTGGGTCAATGACACCATCTCACCAGGACAAGAAGCAACAGGTGGAAACTAATCAAGGAGAGAAGCAACCTAGAACTAAGGAGAAACTTCCTGACAGTGGGAACAATTAATCAGTGGAACAGCCTGCCTCCAGAAGCAGTGAATGCCCCAACACTGGAAGTTTTTAAGAAGAGACTGGACAGCCATTTGTCCGAAATGGTGTAGGGTTTCCTGCCTGAGCAGGGGGTTGGACTATATGACCTCCAAGGTCCCTTCCAACTTTACTACTATTACTATCTCATCCTCTGCCGTGCCTTCGCGCTGACCATAAAACAAGACCTACCTTGTGCAGTTGTTCAGGGAACCCATCCATTCATCCTTTTTGACAAAAGAAAAAAGGAAACCCGTTTTTCCATGACGTGCTTTTTTCAGGTTTTGGTGGAAATGGGAGCAAGTTGGGGCCTAGGTTTTTGGTTTTTTTTTTTCATAGTTTGTTTCAGGCAGTTTTCCAAAAAAGATGAGGAAATAGTTTCTCCTCCTCAAAAAACAAAGAAGTGTTTTTTTGGGGAATGCCCTTCAGGTAACGAGAATGTCAACATTTGCCTGGCCTTTGAACGGAGGTTGAACTCTGCACGGAAATTCAGCCAAGTTTTTTTCTCGCCATGATGCAATGCGGGCTGGGAAATTTTTACTAATGTTTTTGAGAAGATTTTGAAGATAGGAACTTCCTCTTAGTGAAGGTATATCAGACAGGTCCTTCTGGACACAGGGAGAGAGAGACAGAGAGAGACAGAGACAGAAGCTGGCAGACCTGCGATTTGGCGAAAGATACAGGTAAATGCAGACTTTTTGGCTTTCCTTGCATGAGCTGAATGTTGGTGCATTTGGCAAAAACTGGTGGCAAAAAGGAGGCTGGGAATCACTGTCAAGAAGGCTGGATCCGGTCTGCAAAAGGCAACACTGGTTTGATTCCCCTTCTTCCAAATTTCTAGTCCTTAAGAGTCTTGAATTGAGAAATAGAAATGTCAGACCCCAAACAAGCATGTTTTCATACAGAGGTGCCCACTTGGGAAGAAAGAGAAATGACAAGGACAAGCAAACAAGGAATCATGGCTAGGGGACCGTGCAGGGTGGTCTTCTGGGAGGGAAGGAAGGAAGGAAGGAAGGAAGGAAGGAAGGAAGGAAGGAAGGAAGGAAGGAAGGAAGGAAGGAAGGAAGGAAGGAAGGAAAAAAGTGGAAATATGGAGATGAGAGTGAGAGAAGTAGGAAGGAAGTAAAAAGAGGAAAGAATGAAAAAGGGAAGGAAGGGAGGAAGGTATAGAGGGAGGTCAAGGGAAGGGAAGGGAGGAGAAGGGAGGAGGGAGGTTGAAGAGGGAGGGAGGGAGGGAGGGAGGGAGGAAGGAAGGAAGGAAGGAAGGAAGGAAGGAAGGAAGGAAGGAAGGAAGGAAGGAGAAAGGGAAGGAAAAGAGTTGGATAACCCTTTCAGTTCCCAGCCTCAGCCCAGTCTGACCTTCTTCTATTCTGGGAGGGGCAGCAGATATTTCAGGAGATCTCTTAACTCAGTGGTTCTCAACCTTTTTAATGCCGTGACCCCCCAAACCGGTCGTAAGTCGAGGACTACTCAACCGGTCGTAAGTCGAGGACTACTCAACTGGTGCAGCACCGTTTGCAGACTGGGACTTTTGGCCGGCTCAGCAGGGCAGAGACAGCCTGGACAATTCCTATTGGCTTTTGAAAGCCAATAGAATTAGATTCTATTCAAGAGAGTCTATTCTATTGGCTTTCAAAAGTGGTTCACTTAAGAGCCGAGGTGGCGCAGCAGTTAGAGTGCAGTACTGCAGGCCACTTTAGCTGACTGTGTTCAGCAGGTCAGCGGTTCAAATCTCACCGACTCAAGGTTGACTCAGCCTTCCATCCTTCCGGGGTAGGTAAAATGAGGACCCAGATTGTTGGGGGCAATGTAAATATACATATACATTGCTTACTGGTGTACACCGCTTAGAGAGTGCTTGCACTTAAAGCGGTATATAAGTCTCATAAATAAATAAATAAATAAATAGAAAAAAGGGAGTAGCACAGCTAAGAAAAAGGGGGAAAAAAAGGGCGGACTGCGTTGTTTGGCGACCCCCGTGAAATGGTCGTTCGACCCCAAATGGGGTCCCGACCCACAGGTTGAGAACCGCTGTCTTAACTGGTTTGAGCAATAGGTTGATGAGGGTGGAACTGAACAGGAAGAAAAGGCAGAAAAGGTAGAAATGGTGGGAGGGGAGAGGGGTCTTGGCTGTGGCCTGTGTGAAAGTGAAGCTGAAGGCGACACCTCTCTCTTTCTCTCGCTGCTTCGCCCCAGGATGACGTCTTCAGCTCCATCTCTCCTGATTGCCTGCCTTGTGATGTCCCTCAACAGCTACACCCAGCAGGTCCTTTACTGCCCACCCACCCCTGCCCCAGAAAGCGTCACCGAGTTCGTCTGCAACTCTCCATCTCTACGTGAATTTCCCACCGGCTTCCCCGCACGAGCCAAGAGGATCTCCGTTGAGTTCACCCAAGTCTCCAGCCTTGGCGTGGAGGCCCTCCAAGGTCTTCCAAACCTCCAGGAACTTCACCTCTCCAACAACAGGTTAAAAACTCTTCCGAGTGGCCTCTTCCGTAACCTCCCACAACTGCACACTCTGGATCTCTCCAGAAATCTCCTGGAAGATCTACCTCCAGAGATCTTCACAAATGCAAGTAGCCTAACTCATTTATCCCTCAGTGAAAATCAACTGGCTGAACTGCGCCCATCCTGGTTCGAAACCCTGGAGGAACTCAGGATCCTAGGCCTTGACCACAACCAGGTGAAGGAGATCCCAATTTCTTGTTTTGATAAGCTGGAGGAGTTGACATCTCTAGATCTCTCATTCAACCTCATCCATCGCCTCACTACAGGGATGTTCAGTGGCTTAGACAATTTGGAGAGGTTAGTTCTGGAAAGCAACCCAATCCAGTGTATTATGGGGAGGACCTTCCATTGGCGTCCCAAGCTGAGTGTGCTGTCCCTGAAGAACAGCAGCCTGACCAACATAATGGGCTTCTTTCAGCCATTGGACCAACTGGAGCTGCTGGACCTCTCTGACAATGAGCTCACCACACTGGATCCTCCGGTCCACGAGCCGTCTGCCAATCTCAGTCTTGATCTTTCAGGAAACCCTTGGGCGTGTGACTGCCGCCTGGAGAATCTTCTAAGATGGCTCAAGGATCACAACATCCATTTATATTCCAAAGAGGAATTTGTTTGTGCTTCCCCCAAGCATTTGAAGGGTGAAAGTGCAACTTCACTTCATAGATCCCAAATTTGTCCCTGCTAAACTTTCAAGGTGGATCTTTTCCCCACCTGTTACCTGAACAGCAGGATTTCCCAGTTTGGGGCTATTTCAAGGGGAATGGACTTCAACTCCCAGAATTCTCAGCAATGGCCATGATGGCTAGGGAATTCTGGGAGTTGAAGTCCACCTAGCTGGATTTAAAGGCAGGGAGCCAGAATATGATTGGGAAAAAAAATTAATTTTAGGGAGAAAAAGCTGCTCAGGAAAAGATGTTCAGAAATCCCAACAACATAGGTAGTCCTTGACTTAAAACCGTTCATTTAGTGACCTTTTGAAGTTTCAACAGCACTGAAAAAAGTGAGCTATGACTGGTCCTTATATTTATGACAATTACTCCATCCCAGGTGATCACTTAATCAAAATTTGCATATCTTGCAACCGACATGTATTTAGAACAGTTGCCGGGTGCTGTGGTCATGTGATTGTCATTTGCGACCTTCACAGCTGGCTTCTGAGAAGCAATGTCTAGTAAATAAAGTTCTTTATGACCACTGAACATCTGCAGTGGTTTACTTAGCAACTATGCCCCCCCCCCCAAAAAAAGAGAGAGATGCTAAGTAAGACATGACTTGTCTAGTATGGAAATTCGGTCCCAAATGTGTTTATCAGTCAGGGACTACAAGTATTTGATTTTAAGGCTGTGCCTTATGGAGGACACGAGGAACAAAAATAGAAGTCTTCCTGTTGCTGGACAAATAGTTATCCTAGTCAGAGCTGTCCGTTTTGCTGTTATTATTATCATTAGCGTAAGGCATAGTTACATTAAACCAGGAGACTGTAACGCTATTATAGAATAGGAGTAGCTGACATGCACCTCCCAAGGTTCACCACAGGAGGGCGAGCTAGCTTCACACCAGAAAGAAAGACGAGTAGTTCTTCCTGCAGCATTATCCAGTTCCTCTCCTACCTCCACTGGGCATTGCAAACGGGAAAGTGCAAAGCAGGCAGAAATCTGATTGCCTACACAGAGCACTAACTCACCTCCCACACTGAAGTGTACCTATTTATCTATTCTCATAAAGCATGCTTTTGTGGACTGAAGCTAAGGCAAATACGGGATCCCATGCAATTCTAGGGCTTGAACCACTTGAGCAGAGACCATCTCCAAGATCATTAAGTCCCTAAGTCAATGTGCTTCTCTCTTCTGTTGTTGAATAAACTCTACTTCTACTGCAAGCAGTTGCTGTTTGAAACTCTGCTCGGAATGAGCCAGAATTTCCTTCTAATAATTTGGCGACCACGTAGGGATCTGGTTGCTAGCTCGCATCTGGGCAATTTCATCCAGACACCACCGGACTATCCCCCTCCCAAATAAGACCTATCCGGAAAATAAGCCCTAGCATGATTTTTCAGGGTGCTCATAATATAAGCCCTACCCCCCAAAATAAGCCCCAGTTAAGATTGTCAACCGGATGGACACATTTTGTATCATATGTCCCCGAAAATAAAATCTAACTGGAAAATAAGGCCTAATGCAGGGATCTTCAAATTTGGCCCTTTCATGACTTGTGGACCAACTCCCAGAATTCCTCACCCTGCATTAATCCATCTTTTGGAGTAAAAAATGAGACCTGGTCTTATTTTCAGGGAAATACAGGTAGTAAAAGAAGTTTTGGGTTGGGCCAAACACTTATTTGAGCCAGACCCTGCCCATTGTACTCCCCATGAATGCCTCACAAACCCTTTTGTAAATGAATCTGGTTCTCTTCCGCCCAATGTACAAGACTTCCACACTTCCCCAAAGGGATGGCATCCTATAGAAGTGAGGTTTTACAGAACACAACTCAAATAAAACTATGACCACCACCACCATTACAATACAGTATCCCAGCTGAAGCAATTAAACCCATCCCAAATTAAATGGAAGTAGTCCTCGACTTATGACCACAATTGAACCCAACATTTATGTCATTGAGTGACTAGCTTTCTCCCAAGAAAGCTGAACTCTCAAAAGAGGCATCGTTTCAAAAGGAACTTTTATTAGGAGCTAGTGACGGCAAGGAATCAAAGCAGGGTCTGAGGAAAATCCCGTGCAAGCAGTATATCAAAAGCAAGAATTATTGCTCCTCTCCCCCAGTGTCCCAGTGTCCATCTGAATCTCATCCAATCCGCAGGTGGTATATTGTTTTGGTAATGAACTCCTTTGGCATGTTCTTGAAGGTCTCTCTCAATTTTGTTTCCCTCTGGCTCCGAGCGCAAGCCATCATCCAGATAAGGGTGATGTTCTTCGGCTGCATTCCTTCCCCTGGCAAGGCAGTGCAAAGCATCCCCTCTACCAACAGAATGGCAGGCACCAAGAAATGGATATAAAAGCAAGTACAGGCATGTAAGGTTCTACATTTAGGCAAGAAAAACCAAATGTACAGGTATAGAATAGGGGGTACTATACTATGAAGAGTCGTAAGCCGAGGTGTTCCTGTAGTAACTGTGAGAGGGATCTCGGAGTCCTAGTGGACAATCACTTAAATAGGAGCCAGCTGTGTGCTGCAGCTGCCAAAAAAGCCAACACAGTGCTGGGCTGCATTAACAGAGGGATAGAATCGAGATCACGTGAAGTGTTAATACCACTTTACAAGGCCTTCGGAAGGCCACACTTGGAATACTGCATCCAGTTTTGGTCACCACGATGTAAAAAAGATGTTGAGACTCTAGAAAGAGTGCAGAGAAGAGCAACAAAGATGATTAGGGAACTGGAGGCTAAAACATATAAGGAATGGTTGCTGGAATTGGGGATGTCAAGTTTAATAAAAAGAAGGACGAGGGGGGACAGGGTAGCAGTGTTCCAGTATTTGAGGGGCTGCCACAAAGAAGAGGGAATCAAGCTATTCTCCAGAGCACCTGAAGGCAGAACAAGAAGCAACGGGTGAAAACTAACGAAAGAGAGAAGCAATCTAGAACTAAGGAGAAACTTCCTGACAGTTAGAACAATTAACCAGCGGAACAACCTGCCTCCAGAAGCTGTGAATGCTCCAACACTGGAAGTTTTTAAGAAGAGACTGGACAGCCATTTGTCCAAAATGATATAGGGTTTCCTGCCTGGGCAGGGGGTTGGACTAGAAGACCTCCAAGGTCCCTTCCAACTTTTTATTATTATTGATCATCGCACAGTCAGCCATATTATTATTATTATTATTATTATTATTATTATTATTATTATTATTATTATTATTATTACATGCCCATGGGGTCGCAAGTATGAAAAATGCTCGCAAGTCACTTTTTGCAGTGATGCGATATTGAACAGTCACTAAATGAACCCTCGTAAGTCGAGGCCTACTGTAAAAGCTTATTTAGCACCAGCTGTTATGGAGATGCTGCAATGGCCGTACATGTGAAAAACGGCGATAAGTCACTTTTTTCCAGTGATGTTGTAACTTGGAATGATTACTAAATGAAGAGTTGTAAGCCGAGGGGTTCCTGTAAAAGCTTATTTAGCACCAGAGGTCCTGTGTAAATATACATAACCCTTTGTTCTTTGGTCACAAGGTCGTGTCCGAATCTTCGCAACCTCACAGATCCCAGCATGCCAGGCACCACGCTGTCCTTCACTCTCACCAGAAACTTGCCGAAATTCACGTTCTTTGGGTCAATGACACCATCTCACCATCTCATCCTCTGCTGTGCCTTTGTGCTCACCATAAAACAAGATCTACCTTGTGCAGTTATTCAGGGTGTTGTTAGTTGTGAAGTTGTGTCCAACCCATCGTGACCCCATGGATAACCTTCCTCCAGGCCTTCCTATCCTCTACCATCTTCTGGAGTCCATTTAAGCTCACAGCTACTGCTTCAGTGACTCCCTCCAGCCACCTCCTTCTCTGTCGTCCCCTTCTTCTCTTGCCCTCAATCTTTCCCAGCATCAGGCCCTTCTCCAGGGAGTCCTTCCTTCTCATTAGGGGTGGCCAAAGTACTTGAGTTTCCACTTCAGGATCTGGCCTTCTAAAGAGCAGGCAGGGTTGATCTCTTCTAGAACTGACCGGTTTGAACGCCTTGCAGTCCAGAGGACTCGCAGGAGTCTTCTCCAGCACTATAATTCAAAGGCCTCCATTCTTCGGCGCTCAGCCTTTCTTATGGTCCAACTTTCACAGCCATACATTGCAACAGGGAAAACCATGGCCTGGACTATACGCACTTTTGTTGGCAGGGTGATATCTGCTTTTTAGTATGCTGTCTAGATTTGCCATAGCTTTCCTCCCCAGGAGCAAGCGTCTTTTAATTTCTTGGCTGCAGTCCCCAACTGCGGTGATCTTGGAGCCCAGGAAGATAAAATTTGTCACTACCTCCATTTCTTCCCCATCAATTTGCCAGGAATTGGGAGGGCCGGATGCCATGATCTTGGTTTCCTTAATGTTGAGTTTCAAGCCCACTTTTGCACTCTCCTTTTCACCCGCATCAAGAGGCTCTTTGGTTCCTTTTCACTTTCTGCCATTAGAGTGGTATCATCTGCATATCTTAGGTTGTTGATATTTCTCCCGGCGATCTTAATTCCAACTTTTGATTCATCTAGCTCTGCCTTTCTCATGATGTGCTCTGCATAGAAGTTAAATAGGCAGGGCGACAGTATACAGCCTAGCCGGTCTCCTTTCCCAATTTTGGTACCCTTCCATTAATCCTTTTTGGGGGGGGGGGGAACCCACAAAAAGTCACCCATTTCTCCATGATGTGCTTTTTTCAGCTGAAAATAGAAGCAAGCTGGGGCCTTGGCTTTCTTTGTTTGTTTGTTTTTCCCGTTTTTTCCAGGCAGTTTTCCAAAAGAGATGAGGAAATCGTTTCAAAATTGCAGAGAAATCTTCTTTTTGGGAAAGCACTTCGCGTAAAAGGAAAGTCAACATTTACCTGGCCTTTGAGCGGAGGTTGAGCGCTGCATGAAAATTCAGCCAAGTTTTTTTCTCGTCGTAATGCAATCGGAGGAGGGGAATGTTTACTAATGTTTTTGAGAAGATTTTGAGGACAGGAACTTCCTCCTGGCAAAGATATATAAGACAGGTCCTGCTGAATACGGCATTCCAGAGAGAGAGAGAGACGCTGACAGAACCTGCGGTTTGGCAAAAGATACAGGTAAATGCAGACTTTTTGGCTTTCCTTGCATGAGCTGAATGTTGGTGCATTTGGCAAAAACTGGTGGCAAAAAGGAGGCTGGGAATCACTGCCCAGAAGGCTGGATCTGGTCTGCAAAAGGCAACACCGGTTTGATTCCCCTTCTTCCAAATTTCTAGTCCTTAAGAGTCTTGAATTGAGAAATAGAAATGTCGGACCCCAAACAAAGCCTGTTTTCCTACAGAGGTGCCCATTTGGGAAGAAAGAGAAATGGCAAGAACAAGCAAACAAGGAATCACGGCTAGGGGACCGTGCAGGGTGGTCTTCTGGGAAGGAGGGAGGGCAGGAGGGAGGGAGGGAGGGAGGGAAGGAAAGAAGGAAGGAAGGAAGGAAGGAAGGAAGGAAGGAAGGAAGGAAGGAAGGAAGGAAGGAAGGAAGGAAGGAAGGAAAAGAGTGGAAGGATGGAGATGAGAGTGGAAAGAAGTAGGGAGGAAGCAGAAAGAGAGGAAAGGAAAGAATGAAAAGGGAGGGAGGAAAGGAAGGAAAGAAGGAAGGAACGAAAGAAGGAAGAAAGGAAGGAAAAGAGTGGAAGGATAGAGATAAGAGTGGAGAGAAGTAGGGAGGAAGCAGAAAGAGAGAAAAGAATAAAAAGGGAGGGAGGGAGGGAGGGAGGGAAGGAAGGAAGGAAGGAAGGAAGGAAGGAAGGAAGGAAGGAAGGAAGGAAGGAAGGAAGGAAAAAAGTGGAAAGATGGAGATGAGAGTGGAGAGAAATAGGAATTTCTAGTCCTTAAGAGTCTTGAATTGAAAAATAGAAATGTCAGACCCCAAACAAGCATGTTTTCATACAGAGGTGCCCACTTGGGAAGAAAGAGAAATGACAAGGACAAGCAAACAAGGACTTCTTGGGGGTTGCAAAATGACAGGAGGGAGGGAGGGAGGGAGGGAGGGAGGGAGGGAGGGAAGGAAGGAAGGAAGGAAGGAAGGAAGGAAGGAAGGAAGGACGGAGGGAGGGAGGGAGGGAGGGAGATGGTAGTGAGAAAAGGAAGGAAGGAGATGAGAGTGGAGAGAAGTAGAGAGAAAAAAGAAAGAGGAAAGAGAAGAATGAAAAAGGACAGATGGAGGGAGGGAGGAGGGAAAGAAGGAAAAAGTGAAAAGAGAAGAAGGGAAAGAAGGAGAAAAAGTGGGACGACAGACAGCGAAGCAGGAAGGAAGGAGAAAGACAGGAAAGGAAATAATGAAAAAGGGAGAAAGGGAGGAAAAGAAGGAAGGAAGGAAGGAAGGAAGGAAGGAAGGAAGGAAGGAAGGAAGGAAGGAAGGAAGGAAGGAGATGGAAGTGAGAAAAGGAAGGGAGGAGGAAGGAAGGAGATGAGAGTGGAAAGAAGTAGGAAGGAAAAAGAAAGACGGAAGGAGATGGAAGTGAGAAAAGGGAGGAGGGAGAAAGACAGGAAAGGAAATAATGAAAAAGGGAGAAAGGGAGGGAGGGAGGGAGGGAGGGAGGGAGGAAGGAAGGAAGGAAGGAAGGAAGGAAGGAAGGAAGGAAGGAAGGAAGGAAGGAAGGAAGGAAGGAAGGAAGGAAAAGCCAAAGGGAGGGTGGGAATCACAATCAAGGGGGCTGAATCCCATCTGCAGAAGGCAGCATCGGTTTGATTTCCCTTCATCCAAATTCCTAATCCATAAGATTTTCTAATTGACAAACAGAAATATTGGATCCTGAACAAGATGGGAGATATAGAGGGAGGTCAAGGGAAGGGTGGAGAAAGGGTGGAAGAGAGGGAGGCAGGAAGGAAGGAAGGAAAAAAGGAAGGGAGGAAGGGAGGGATGGAGGGAGAGAGGGAGGGAGGGAGGGAGAAAGGAAGGAAGGAAGGGCAAAGAGAAGAATGGAAGGAAGGAGAAAGGGAAGGAAAAGAGTTGGATAACCCTTTCAGTCCCCAGCCTCAGCCCAGTCTAATAATAATAATAATAATAATAATACCATCTGGTAAGCTGTTGCAAGAAGATCGCACAGACTAACTACAAGCAGCGGCATGACAAAGTAGCAACAATGGTGCATTGGAAGATCTGCAAAAAATATCATTTGCCTGTAAGCAAAAACTGGTGGGATCATAAAATAGAGAAAGTCATAGAAAATGATAAAATTAAAATGCTCTGGGACTTCAGAATTCAAACAGACAAGCACCTGCAACATAACACACCAGACTTAACAATTGTTGATAAGAAAGACAAAAAAGTCTGGATAGTGGACGTGGCAGTGCCTGGAGACAGCAGAATAGAAGAGAAAGAACTGGAGAAGATAACAAAATACAAAGACCTACAAATAGAAATAAAAAGACTGTGGCAAAAGCAAGCAAGGGTAGTACCAATAGTAATAGGCTCCCTGGGTGCAATCCCAAAACAACTGGAGCACCACTTGAACACCATTGGCATTGACAAATTTGCTATTAGTCAAATGCAAAAGGCGGCCTTATTAGGAACTGCTTCCATCCTGCGACGATACCTGTAATACCATCAAACATCCACATCTGCCTATCCCAGGTCCTAGGTAAGGACTCGATAGGTAGACAAAATGCCAAATCCAATCTGAACATCTGGCTGACTGTGTGATGATCCATAATAATAATAATAATTAAAAAAAAAGTTGGAAGGGACCTTAGAGGTCATCGAGTCCAACCCCCTACTCAGGCAGGAAACCCTATACCATTTCAGACAAATGGCTGCCCAGTCTCTTCTTAAAAACGTCCAGTGTTGGAGCATTCACCGCTTCTGGAGGCAGGTTGTTCCACTGGTTAATTGTTCTGTCAGGAAGTTTCTCCTTAGTTCCAGGTTGCTTCTCTCCTTGGTTAGTTTCCATCCGTTGCTTCTTGTCCTGCCTTCAGGCGCTTCGGAGAATAGCTTGACTGCCTCTTCTTCGTGGCAGGCCCTGAGATACTGGAAGACTGCTATCCTGTCCCCCCTCGTCCTTCTCTTCGTTAAACTACTAGACCAGTGGTTCTCAACCTGTGGGTCGGGACCCCATTTGGGGTCGAACGACCATTTCACGGGGGTCGCCAAACAAGGCTGTCCGCCATTTTTTCCCCCTTTTCTTTGGCCACGCCCCTGGCACCCGGTGATGTATAAGTGGTTGGGGGTCACCACAACATGGGGAACTATATTATGGGGTCACGGCATTAGAAAGGTTGAGAACCACTGTACTAGACAGACCCAATTCCAGCCCCTTGTACATTTGGAAATAACCCAGCCGGGAAGGGCAGCAGACATTTCAGCAGAGCTCTTAACTGGATTGAGCACTAGGTTGATGAGGGTGGAATTGAACAGGAGGAAAAGTCAGTTCTGTATCTGGGAATGGAAGGCAGAAAAGTGGGGGGTGGGGAGAGGGATCTTGGCTGTGGCCTGTGTGAAAGCCAAGTTTAAGGCGATGCCTCTCTCTCTTTCTCCCCCTGCTTCTCCCCAGGATGAAGTCTTCGGCTCCGTCTCTCCTGTTTGCCTGCCTTGTGATGTCCCTCAGCAGCTACACCCAGCAGGTCCCTCACTGCCTGCCCCTTCCTCCTTCCGAAAAAAGGGTGGTCTGCAATTCTTTCTCTCTCCGTGAATTTCCCACTGGCTTCCCCACTGATACCCAGACGGTCTACGTTCAGTTCACCCAGCTCTCCAGCCTTGGTTCGGAGGCCCTCCAGGGTCTCCCAAACTTACAGGGGCTTCATCTGACGGACAACCGGCTGAAGACCCTTCCGGGTGGCCTCTTCCGTAACCTCCCCCAACTGCACACCCTGGATCTCTCCAGAAATCTCCTCAAAGATCTACCTCCGCAGATCTTCACCCAGGCAATTAGCCTGGCCTACTTATCCCTCAGCGAAAACCAGCTGGCTGAATTGGACCCGTCCTGGTTCGAGACCCTGGAGGACCTCAAGATCCTGTGCCTCGACCACAACAAGCTGAAGGAGATCCCAGGTTCCGTCTTCCAGAAGCTGACGATGCTCCTCTCCCTGGACCTGTCCTCCAATCTCCTCCATTGTCTGTCTCCGAAGTCGTTCAAAGGCCTTCCTTATTTAAACGTTTTAAACCTGAAGAATAACCCAATCCGGTCCATCGCCCCCAAGACTTTCCACGGGAATTCCGGGCTGTGGGTGCTCAGCCTGAGGAACTGCGGCCTGACCCACGTTCCGGCTGGGCTCTTCCAACCATTGAACCATCTGGGACGATTGGATCTGTCCGCCAACGAAATCACCGCCCTGGAGCCTTTGTTGCTCAATGTGTCTTCTGAGCTCACTCTTGATCTTTCCGGAAACCCGTGGGCTTGTGACTGCCGCATGCAGGCTCTCTTAAACTGGGTGCAGGGAGGCGACGTTGATTTGTTCTCCAAGGACGACGTCGTCTGTGCTTTCCCCAAAAGTTTGAAGGGCCAAGTTGCAACTTCACTTAACGGAACCAAACTGTGTCCCTGCTAAAGCTTCAGGACGGGTCTTTTTCCAACCCGCTCAGCTGGTATGCTTTAAGACCGTTGGACTTCAGTTCCCAGAATCCCCCAGCCATCGTGTATGACTTCAGCTCCCAGAATTCCCAAGCCAGCATACTTTAAGACGGTTGGACTTCTGTTCCCAGAATCCCCCAGCCATCATGTATGACTTCAACTCCCAGAATTCCCAAGCCAGTATACTTAAGACGGTTGGACATCTGTTCCCAGAATCCCCCAGCCATCATGCATGACTTCAGCTCCCAGAATTCTCTAGCCAGCATGCTTTAAGACGGGTGGACTTCAGTTCCTAGAATCCCCCAGCCATCATGTATGACTTCAGCTCCCAGAATTCTCTAGCCAGCATGCTTTAAGATGGGTGGACTTTAGTTCCCAGAATCCCCCAGCCATCGTGTATGACTTCAGCTCCCAGAATTCCCAAGCCAGCATGCTTTAAGACGGTTGGATGTCTGTTCCCAGAATCCCCCAGCCATCATGTATGACTTCAGCTCCCACAATTTTCTAGCCAGCATGCTTTAAGACGGGTGGACTTCAGTTCCCAGAATCCCCCAGCCATCATGTATGACTTCAGCTCCCAGAATTCTCTAGCCAGCATGCTTTAAGATGAATGGACTTTAGTTCCCAGAATCCCCCAGCCATCGTGTATGACTTCAATTCCCAGAATTCCCAAGCCAGCATACTTAAGACGGGTGGACTTCAGTTCCCAGAATCCCCCAGCCATCGTCTATGACTTCAACTCCCAGAATTCCCAAGCCATCATGCTTTAAGATGGGTGAACTTTAGTTCCCAGAATCCCCCAGCCATCGTCTATGACTTCAACTCCTAGAATTCCCAAGCCAGCATGCTTTAAGACGATTGGATTTCCGTTCCCAGAATCCCGTAGCCACCTAATTCCCAGGATTTCCAATGAGTATGTTGTAGGATATGTTAAAAAGAACGAAAGAGGGAAAAGTGGTGTAGAAAGCCAGACAATAAAGAAAGAAAACAAATATTTGATTCTACATGTGATAACAGCGGCAAGAATTATATCTGCACAATATTGGGAGAAGGAAGAAATATCACCAGAAGAAGAAATAATCAAAAATAATATTGGACTGTGCAGAAATGGACAGACTTACTTTAAGGTTGAAAGAAAAAAGAAGAAACAGAATATTTTCAAACTTGGGACCTATTTTATCAATGGTTAGAGAAAAGATTTAGGGAACAGGAATTTAATTTGTATTAGTGAATAAGATACTCAGACCACACGTTTTTGTTTGAATGATTACTATTGAATTCTGCTCAAAAATAATAATAAAACTTTATAAACTAAAAAAAAGAAAGAAAACAAGATAATTAAACGCGATTCAGAAAAATGAAGTGAAGTTTGATTTTCTTTTCAACATTAACCAACCTTTTTTCTCTCTGCCCTTTTGAGTGTGACATATTTCCCTTCAGCCCTTTATTTTGAATCCCTCATACCCCAAAATCATCCTTTCGATTACTTTCAGTTTGAGTAAAAACTCTGTAAAGAACAGGTGGTCCTCAACTTACAACCGTTTCATTTAGTGACAGTTCGAAGTGGCACCAGCACAGAAAAAAATGATTTGTGACAATGTTCACCCTTACGACCGTTGCAGGATCCCTCAAGGTCACGTGGTTTTCTTCCGGCATTTATTTGCTGTCTGCTCCTTCCGCTAAATCAGTGGTTCTCAACCTTTTTAATGCCGCGATCCCCAACCGGTCGTAAGTCGAGGACTACTCAACCAGTCGTAAGTCGAGGACTACTCAACTGTTCGTAAGTCGAGGACTACTCAACTGGTGCAGCACCGTTTGCAGAATGGGACTTTTGGCGGGCTCAGCAGGGCAGAGACAGCCTGGACAATTCCTATTGGCTTTTGAAAGCCAATAGAATTAGACTATTCAAGAGAGTCTATTCTATTGGCTTTCAAAAGCCAATAGAATAAAAGGGAGTAGCACAGCTAAGGAAAAGGGGGAAAAAATGGCGGACTGCGTTGTTTGGCGACCCCCGTGAAATGGTCGTTCGACCCCAAATGGGGTCCCGACCCACAGGTTGAGAACCACTGGGCTAAATAATCCCTGCGATTGATGTAAACAGAAATAAATTAAGAATTAAGGAACAGCAAAAGGGAGGGTGGGAATCACCATCGAGGGGGCCTGAGTCCCATCTGCAAAAGGCAGCATCGGTTTGGTTTCCCTTCATCCAAATTTCTACTCCGTGAGATTTTCTAACTAAGAAACAGAAATGTTGGATCCTGAACAAGTACATTATGGACAAAAGAGGAAAGAGAGAGGGAAAGAGAGAGGGAGGGATGAAGAAGAAGAAGAAGAAGAAGAAGAAGAAGAAGAAGAAGAAGAAGAAGAAAAGAAGAAGAAGAAGAAGAAGAAGAAGAAGAAGAAGAAGAAGAAGAAGAGGAGGAGGAGGAGGAGGAGGAGGAGGAGGAGGAGGAGGAGGAGGAGGAGGAGGAGGAGGAGAAGAAGAAGAAGAAGAAGAAGAAGAAGAAGAAGAAGACGAAGAAGAAGAAGAAGAAGAAGAAGAAGAAGAAGAAGAAGAAGAAGAAGAAGAAGAAGAAGAAGAAGAAGAAGAAGAAGAAGAAGAAGAAGTAGTTAAACTGCTCTGGGACTTCAGAATTCAAACAGACGAGCACCTGCAACATAACACCCCAGACTTAACAATTGTCGATAAGAAAGACAAAAAAGTCTGGATAGTGGACGTGGCAGTGCCTGGAGACAGCAGAATAGAAGAGAAAGAACTGGAGAAGATAACAAAATACAAAGACCTACAAATAGAAAGACCGTGGCAAAAGCAAGCAAGGGTAGTACCAATAGTCATAGGCTCCTTGGGTGCAATCCCAAAACAACTGGAGCACCACTTGAACACAATTGGCATTGACAAATTCGCTATTAGTCAATTGCAAAAGGCGGCCTTACTAGGAACTGTTTCCATCCTGCGACGATATCTGTAATACCATCAAACATCCACATCTGCATATCCCAGGTCCTGGGTAAGGACTCGATAGGTAGACAAAATGCCAAATCCAGTCTGAACATCTGGCTGACTGTGCGATGATCCATAATAATAATAACAAAGTTGGAAGGGACCTTGGTGGTCCAGGAAGGAAGGAAGGAAGGAAGGAAGGAAGGAAGGAAGGAAGGAAGGAAGGAAGGAAGGAAGGAAGGAAGGAAATGAAGAAGAGGAAAGGAAAGGAGACAGGAAGGGAGGGAGGGAGGATAAGGAGGGAGGGAAGGGAGGGAGGAAGAAAGGGAAGGAGAAAGGAGGGAAAGAAAAGAAGGGAGGAGAAATAGAGGGAAGAGAAGGAAAATGAAGGGAAAGGAAAATGAAGGGAAAGGAAAGGAAAGGAAGGGAAAGGAAAGGAAGGGAAGGGAGGAAGGAAATGAAAGGAAAGGAAATGGAAGGAAAGGAAAGGAAAGGAAAGGAGAAAGGAAAGGAAAGGAAGGAAATGGAAGGGAAGGGAAGGAAATGGAAGGAAAGGAAAGGAAAGGAAAGGAGAAAGGCAAGGAAAGGAAAGGAAAGGAAAGGAAGGGAAGGGAAGGAAATGGAAGGAAAGGAAAGGAAAGGAAAGGAAAGGGAAAGGAAAGGAAAGGAAACAAATGCTGCAGTGACTCACACAACAGATTTGAGGGAGCCCTTATCAAGTCTGCAGATAACACAAAGCTATTGCAAACATTCTAGCAGAGAGGAAGGTCCCGAAATATCTGAACAGGCTTGAGCAACAGATTTTGATGATGGTGGACTTGAGCAGAAACAGAAGACCTCCAAGGTCCCTTCCAACTCTCTCATTCTGCTACCTGGAAACGAGAGGCAGAAACAAGGAAGGGGGAGACGGGGCTGGTCAGCCCCTCCGAGGTAGTCCAGAGTCCAGACCAGGGGTGGGCAACCTTGGCCCTTTTCTGACTCATGGACTTCAACTCCCAGAATTCCTGAGCCAGCCACGCTGAGGGGAAAGGAGAGGTTTCCAAGCTGAGCCATGCTGGCTCAGGAATTCTGGGAGTTGAAGTCCGCAAGTCATGAAGGGGCCAAAGTTTCCCCCTTGCTGGCTCAGGAATTCTGGGAGTTGAAGTCCACGAGTCATAGAAGAGCCAAGGTTTCCTACCCCTGGTCTAGACCCATACCCCTACTACATATACATATCAAATAAATATTAAATACTGTGTGGACTTCAACTCCCAGAATTCCTGAGCCAGCACGGCTCAGCATGGAAACCTCTCCCTTTCCCCTCAGCGTGGCTGGCTCAGAATTCTGGGAGTTGAAGTCCACGAGTCATGAAGGGGCCAAGATTGCCGACCCCTGGTCCAGACCAGATTGGTAAACCCTTTTCCACAAAGAAGACCACTTAATTTTCCATTCTTCTTCCCCAAATATGAAAATCAAAAGTTTAGAGCCCAAGACAATGCAACAGTTTCTTTTTTTAAAATTTACATTTTATTAGCCTATAGTATAAACTGATATAAATAACAAGACAAAATACCAAAGCAAATAACAGGAAAATTAAGGGAGGAAAAAGGGAAGGGAAAAGTGTGGAAAAGAAGGAGGGAAAAACAAAGAAACGGCGTCGACTTGATGACCACAGTTTCAATCTTCTGACAGGCACCCAAGAGATACTTGGCGCTGTTTCTTCAAACCTAGATGGATTTCCTGCTTCATAAAATTTATTTTACTTTTATTTAAAAAAAAAAAAAAAACCTTTCCCACAGTGACTCTCCAGCAAGCTATTTTCAGGGGCCTGTCAATTATTGGTATAGTGATTCCTCCTGCAAATTTGTGATCAATGCAGCTTTCATGCCCCCCCCCCCCGTGTTCCCTGAAAAAAATCGGAAATTTCTCATTTGTTCTACCTCCACACACACAAAAAACACCCTTCTAATTAGCAAAGATGTTATGAATGGAACGGAACATAATAGAACATAATGAATGGAATGGGATGGGATGGGATGGGATGGGATGGGATAGGATAGGATAGGATAGGATAGGATAGGATAGGATAGGAATTGGAATGAATAGAATAAAATAGAAATTGGAATGAATAGAATAGAATGGAATGGAATGGAATAGAATCTGGAAGGGACCTTGGAGGTCTTCTAGTCCAGCCCCCTGCTCAAGCAGGAGAACCTATACCAGGGGTAGGCAACCTTGGCTCTTTTATGACTCGTGGACTTCGACTCCCAGAATTCTTGAACCAGCATGGCTCAGGTTGGACACCTCTCCCTTTACCCTTAGCTCCTGGCTCAGGAATTCTGGGAGTTGAAGTCCACGAGTCATAAAAGTGTCAATGTTCCCTACCCCTAAATACCATTTCAGACAAATAGCTGTCCAGTCTCTTCTTAA